CCCCAAAACCCCAAAACCCCAAAACCCCAAAACCCCTATGAATTAATATTTATTTGAAATTGATTAGGTTATCTATAGAGGAGCTAAGGTGATTAGAGGTTGTGTCTTCCTAAGCCTCCTCCTTTTCCGAGACCTCCTCCACCGAGGACTCCTAGACCTCCTTTGGATAATCCACCAACTTTGCTGAGTCCTCCAACTCCTCCTGGGTTAGTGAATTTATTTAGAGTTGGTAGTTCTTTGTCTGAATTTTTAACTAGATTTCTTCCTCCATAGCCAGAAAGCCCTCCTCCAGAAGGGATGTTACTTCTATTGCTTCCTTTTGAACCTAACCCTGAACCTAGATTTCTTCGGGATCCAATACTAGCTCCTGATCCCAGAGCTTGACGATTCGTTACACTTGGGAGTTTATCAGGATCTTGTTCTCCATTTCTTTTCGCTAAATATTTTGAAATTCCGCCTCCTCCATAGCTGTAGCCACCATAGGAAGGAGACTTATCCCCTTTATAAGAACTGTCCTTTCTTGCTGGCTTTGAGTAATTACCTAAACCTCCTGCACTACCTTTGTTATACATTCCATAAGCATCGGGAGCTGCTCCAGGTTTTGAAAGTCCTCCTCCTGGTTTGGAGAAACCTCCAGGGACATAATTCTGTGCTCCTGACATACCTTGATTATTCTTGTAGTACTTATTTAGTATACTTCCGCTGCCACTGTCAGGTTTCCCAAACTTAGTAGCGCTAGTTGGGTTATGAACATTGTCTTCTTTATTTCCTGTGCCTTTATTCTTTAGATATGAACTGATTCCTCCATATCCTCCGAGACCTCCCTGAGGTACTTTGTTAAAGTAGCTATTAACTGGAGACTTCATGGGAACTTTGCTAGGAAGCTTACTCTTAGTCTTGTAGAAGCTATTTTTATTTATGTCTCGAGAACCAAGCTTGGATTTCCTACTCTCAAGTCTTTTTGAAACAGCACTTGGCTTTCTTACCCCAGAATTAATATCATTCGATTTATTGAAGAAACTTTTGTTTGATTTCCCGTAAATTGAACTCTGGACTGGAGGAACAAAATCTTTGAAGAATTCATGTTCTAAGCATTCTGAAGCAGTAGGTCTCTTTTGAGGATCAAATTCCATCATTTTCTCCATCAAGTCAATAGCTTCATCAGATGCATTTGGAATAATAGTTTTGAGTGAGGTAGAAACAAATTTTGGAAAGCTAAACCCAATCTGAGATGCAAGTTTGAACCCTTCAGGCCAATCAGTTTTGCTCGGACTACCGAGGACAGCACAAGTTTTATATATCTGATCAGTTTCATTCTGTCCTGGGAACAATGGGCGCAACATGTATAATTCGGCCATGATTGCACCCATAGCAAAAATATCAATTGGAGAGTTATATGAAGTTGATCTCAACAAAATTTCTGGTGCTCTGTACCATCTGGTAGAGACATAATCTGTAAATGGAGGTCTGGATCTAATCTCTCTTGCAAGACCAAAATCGGCAATTTTGACAATCTCTCCAGTTGCTAATAAATTTTCAGGTTTTAAATCTCGATGGAAAAAGCCATGCTTATGCATATACACCAGACCTTCTAAAGTTTGATAAATAACACTTCTAACCTGGCTCTCTGGGAGGTCAGTAGTCCTATCCTTAATCATTTGGTACACATTTTGGTCAAGGTACTCAAAAACGAAGTATAAATCATCATTAGCTCTAATAACCTCCTTCAACTTAACAATATTTTTATGATTGAGTTTCCTCAGAGACTTGATCTCCCTCAGAGCCATGCATTCTTCCCAACTATAAAACTTCTTCTTCATCTTATTTAATCGCTACTACCTCTTGGGTTTTCTTATTAGTGGCCTTGACAACACTTCCATAGGCTCCGTCACCTATAGTCTTGATAATTTTATATCTGTCCATTTGAATTTTAATAAATTTTTATTAATACAATTTAATTACATATTTTTGGGGTTTTGGGGTTTTGGGGTTTTGGGGTTTTGGGGTTTTGGGGTTTTGGGG